AATGAACCCAGGGCTCGGGGACCACTGGGGAGGGGGAGGGGTGTGGAAATTTTCTAACAAGGGAGGAGGTGCATAACCATATGGAAACAGAGTCCTACAAGCTCCCGGGACCATCTCATAGAAACCTACAGCAATGATGTCAGCATGCACAAGACCAATGCAAACTCAAGCAGACAGAAACCTAGCATGGACAGAAACCTGTGGAAATAGGCAGCAGGCCCCAATCTTAGTTAAAGAACTACTGAGCAGTTGATTAGTACTGGGTGAGGAACAGCTGATCTTCATTAAAGGCATGATTCTAGATAACCAGTGGATGAACTTGCACTGAGGGGCATGAGAGAACACTAACTTGACACAATAGGCCTTAACATCGATGACAGAATGCATAAAATCCAGTTGTGGGGGATACAAGGGGATGGTGCTGATGGGGAAGGGGTATAAAGAGGACTAAGATGTGTGTAAAATACACAAAAAGTCAATAGAAAAATATATATATGTTTGGTCTTTTGAGATAGGGTCTCCCTGTAGCCCCAGCTGGCTTGGAACTCATTATGTAAACCAGGCTGGCTTTGAACTCACAGAGATTCATCTTCCCCTGCCTCTGCCTCCTGAGTGCTGGGACTAAAGGAGAGCACCACCATGCCCTGCTTTCTTTTAAAAAACTATCTTTACTACCAGTAAAACACAGATATATATGTTTGGTCTTTTGAGATAGGGTCTCCCTGTAGCCCCAGCTGGCTTGGAACTCATTATGTAAACCAGGCTGGCTTTGAACTCACAGAGATTCATCTTCCCCTGCCTCTGCCTCCTGAGTGCTGGGACTAAAGGAGAGCACCACCATGCCCTGCTTTCTTTTAAAAAACTATCTTTACTACCAGTAAAACACAGATTTGGTTGAACCAAGTGCATGAATCAGTTGAAAAAATACTTAGGATTTTTCAAAGTAAATTATTAAAGTCAAAATGTAAAATATTCAAAATATTATACTAAGATCTAAATTAAAATAAATGAATTGATATGTCTGTGACTGAAATCACTCAATAATTTTTTATATCTAGAATGCCCCTTTGAATTATTCTCTCAAATAATTATCTGATTAATGTTCCAGAAGTTCAGACTTGTTATTATGAGTGATTAGGATTATGGCAAGAAAATATATGCAATTGTATCCAATATATTAACAACTAATTATCCTCTCCTATAGTTGAATTTAAGTTTATGAAGATATTATGACATTCATGATATATATACTTCGTTCTTTTCATAAAACAAATTTCTAAGTGCTTAAATATACAATAAATCACGTACTTAATAAATCATGTACTTAATGTAGCATGTAAATAAATATGCAACTGTTTGATTAAAAAGTTGCAGATACCTCCATTTTAAAAAATTCTAACACATGCTTGTCTCTGTTCATTACATAGAAATCACCTTAAAATATTTTATAGATGACTCAGGATACATTATTCTTCATCTAGATAATATCTACATATCAATGGTAACTTTTTTTTTTTTTTTTTTGGTCTTTTTGAGACAGGGTCTCCCTGTAGCCCCAGCTGTCCTGGAACTCACTACATAGACCAGGCTGGCCTTGAACTCAGAGATCCGCCTGCCTCTGCCTCCCTAGTGCTGGGGATTAAAGGCGTGCGCAACCACGTCTGGCTCTTCAATGGTAACTTTTAAATATTTGGAAATTATCAACATCCTGAGGCAGTTGTAGAGTGGAAAATAGTATTGATTTATATGGTGAATATTTAATAGCAGCCTTCTTGTGTGCTTTATCAAACTTAATTATAGGTTTGACTTGAAAATTCAGTCATCAGTCTTCAGTGCAACAGAAATGAATCAAATGACTTTATATGGTTAAAGTGTTCAGAGACATGTGTGGCATTTGGAAAGCATTAAATAAGTATCATCCTTTCCACGAATGTTAGTCTTAATTGTTGGTTTATGAATGTGGAATATATTAAGGATATTTCATATATTTTGTACTTATTTAAATATATTAGCCAGGCATGGTAGA